AAGTAGAAAAACTAGTTGATTCTGCTGTGACATCATACAGGACATCCATTACAATCATACTCATTGAAGAAAAAAGTATGCAACTTCTAAGCCTCAGTATATTCATTAAAATATTGGTATTGTAGTTTGAACCAATCATCATAAAAATCATGCACTTTATGAATTAAAATGCATCATTCATTGAATAAGTTTATATTCCAGTATGACAACGAAATCTCTAATCATCACACTTATGATTCAAGGTGTTGTAGTGATCTACTTTTTTGAGGAGAACCCGGTTGGTGTAATGGGAACATTTATTATTATAACTAACTGTACCAATGATTGTTCTACTGTACCTTTTTGTTTAACTGTACGAAAAACACACTTCCGTCGTTTGTGACCTTGAACTTACTCACGTACGCACGGCAGTCTCACCTGTAAAATTTGGCACGATCTCGGTATTATTTCGATATCACGAGATCACCAACAAATATATACTAACTACAATCTACAACTGTCCTTCTAATATTTACCCTACTGAGGGATTTAACCTGGTAATTGGTAAGTAATTGGTCTGTAGTGATGATCATAGTCAACTGCGACTCGACGTTTCTACAATATGATGAAAGCCAGCGACATCTAAAAATATATACAATAAACAAAAAACATAATGGTATAAAGAGTGCAGCTCATAACTGGTTGGAGTAAACGAATAGAAACTGGTGAAATAAAATAATCTTCCAATTGGTTTAAACAAGTGTACTTATGGGTTATTTTATTTATTTTGTACTGATTAGTTGATGAATTCTTTAAAAAGCATAGAATATTATTTCATAGTTCAAAAAACATCTTTAGTAAAACTTGTTGAAAAATAAGCTCCAAATAGTAAAATCAGTGTTTATATCATTCAACAGGTATAGGCTTAGGTACCGAAGTTAGAGTCACATATTTCTTTTGGGGCTGTTCAAAACGAAATAGAGTTGGGGTCTATCCTGTAACCTGCCGGTCAAAATTTGACTACTTTAAAAACAGAACCACCCTATCAAATGATGGGTATTTAGGAAAATGGTTATTTCTATCGTAATTGATGTATGGTAAACACTAAGTTGTCTAACTCTACACTTGTCTGGAAGTATTTGGATTCAAAATATTTAAACACTGTCTAGGTTCCAACATGACTAAGATCTACTTTTAAGAGAAAAAGAACTGTTTTTAAGTTTACTACAATAAAATCAAAAATAAACAGAACTTTCGTAAACTGTCTACTGAGGTTTGCTTTAATGAATTCGCAAAATTCAGATGTAATTTGCTACGATCAGCAGAAATGGATAACCATTCTATGCTTAATGACCTTCATTTTCATTTTTAACTAACTTTTTGAGACAGATAACTCAGAATCGTACTAATTTCTTTGGGTATTCACCATTCGAAATAACAGCTTCTTTTTGTGATCAATATTCACACACTTAGTCAGCCAGTGATCCTGTATTTTGATACATAAAATTTGAGGATCATTTTCATTAGCAAATTATGAGTAAAACCATCTTGAACTATTTCAGAATTTTATCAAATCAACTGAAATATCGTAACAGTGATTACGATGTAGCGGTAAATAAATCCCCAAAATCAATGGCTCTGTAAGTCTTCGACATTTGATGTTGACAGCATTAGTTTGAATGGACTTAACTAAATGAAGGCGCTCTGTCACGCATCCGCAACAGATAACTAGTGGGTACGTCGTGCTACACATATTATACGAACGCTATCCAGCTTAAATTGATCACTCCTAGATATATCAATAGTCAATCAAATATGTCTTTGAACCTCTCCTCTTCTTACATTTGATTTGACTGAGTTGGCACATTTCGATCACAAAAGGTGTTACTGGTTAAGGTGTTTTCAAAATCCAAACACTAGTAGCATCTTTAACGAGATCATCTGCTAGGCTACCTTTAGACTAGAGCTCCTTCATTCAAATTTCTAAGTACACAAACTAAATAACTCATACATGGATTACATCATTTTTTTTATAATGACACGAAACAAGCTTTCAAGTATTGTTCTCAAAATGATTCTAATAGTCATAATCAGAATACAGCTTGGTAGAACTAACAATCAGCCCAAGTTCCTATAACAAATGAGCATAATGAAATAAAGTTTACGAAATGAATTCTACAGGAATCGAGATTATCTTTATACTAATAACAGTAAATATGATTACAAATCGAGTATATAGTTAAAAAAGAAAATTTATTTAATAATACTAAAACTCAAAACCCATGGAGAAGTGAAACGTATATGCTCCTGCTCGATCCCAACTTTAAGATAAGTCACACTACGTCTTCAATCACTGATTGCAGTTATTGGGCAGACACCAAGCATGTAACCTGTTCAATAAAGTGTATTAGATGAGTTCAGAACTTCTGCAGAAATCGATTATAGGTTTTATTTCGAAGAAAATTCAATGGTGAAGTTTAACTAATCCAAGGTGTCCAATAGTTTTAGTTGTTGTTTTTTTGATGGAATATTTTAAGACCTTCATGTTTTCCAACATTAGAATAATAAAACTAAGTAATATCAAGTAAATATTTGCATAATCAACAATGAGTTATAAATTTTGTATGATGGATAGTTAAATTGTTTTAGCCTACAACCTAATACCTGAAAATATTATTCCTTAACTAACTAACCACAACTACGTACAAGGATTTATTAGTAAATAGACATACACTCATAACCTCGACATTGATACCTATGACAGTTAGCTTAGTACCAACTTCATGCTCAGTCATTAAAGTAATGAAGTGGGTTACAGTTTTACACAATCTAACAACTCATCAGTTTATAAAGAATGAATTTTAATTGAAGGAATTAATAATTTTTTGGACGTAAATCACTTGAACAAAAAACTGAAATAATCTTGTTTATTTTTTGGCTAAACTTGAACTTATTAAGAGAAACGTACTGTGGTGAATTTGTACAAGTCTTAGTTTAAACATCTTTTATTGATATTAAATTACTTGGCAACGAACATGCCAGATATTGAAAGTTACTTTTCGATTCATGTGCTGACATGAAAATATTTTGTTTTATGGAATAGAGAACAGTTTCGATACTGAGCTATCCATTACAATTGGTTATAATATATCTAAGATTATAGTGACTAACAATTCATTGTTGTATTAGAAAATTTCAACAAATAAAATAATGAGTAAGTCATAATCACTATGCTATTTTTAAGATGTAATTACAGACCGTAGATCACAAGAAAAACATTTACAAAGTAAAACTGTGAATCATAACGTATGACAAGTGATGTCGTCTCCAAGTATAAACGCCTTTACAGTTTATCGCGCATATATATGTCTAAAATGTTCCTTCTATTTAAACAATGACTATTTTGTTTCGACTGCATTAGATTAATAAGTGCAAGTATTGACTTATAGAAGTTTGAATAATCAGTATTATTATTGACAATGTATATTTGTTTTCCCTGTTGATTGATAATTTCCTTACTACATATATAAGCGAACAATATTGTTTTCGATTAGATCATCATCAGGATTTACTCTAATATACAGTAATATTTATATGCATATACGAAATTATTAAACCAATCAAGGCAGTTTAGGAGTCAATGATAACAGTGGAATAGATTACATAATCAAAATTAATAATAAGTGAAAAGTACAAATTGATAGTGTAATGACAGGTGTACTAGTAGTCTTTTAAAGTTATTTATCGTATTCCTACAAGTTTTCCTTATGGGGTTCGATCTTGTCTCTTACACAGCAGAAGCTATAGGAATTCGATCCAACAACCCAAGTCTTTGTGTTCATAAGAAATTTTTAACACCCTTACCTCTCCCTTGGCCTTAATAAATAATTTTATTTCCCATACTCTTTCTTCGTTTATTTTTCTTCACCCCCCTATCAATTATTTACTTGTAATTTTTTTAATATTCGCTTCACCGTCCAATTATCTAAACACTTCTTATTACGTAATCTTATAATTTCTATGAATGTTATTTCAGTGTCTATATTCTTTTTTCTAATCATTGACCTACTTTCCTATTCTTATCACAACTAGTACACCTGCCATTACACTATCAATTTGTACTTTTCACTTATTATTTTGATTATGTAATCTATTCCACTGTTATAATTGACTCCTAAACTGTCTTGATTGGTTTAATAATTTCGTATATGCATATAAATATTACTGTATATTAGAGTAAATCCTGATGATGATCAAATCGAAAACAATATTGTTCGCTTATATATGTTGTTTACGGATTTGTCAGAGAAATAAATTATACATTCCTAGTTCTTACCAGCTCTCTTTATTCGACACTGACTAATGTAGTAAATTGGTAATAGTCATCACCTTAGCTTTTCAGATTCCATCCATGTGAAATTATTCTTATTAGTTTTTATTGTGAGTTATTATATATACCTAAACACTAATTTAAATACATTTTCGGACCTGAGGTGAGTGGGGTATATTTTTTTCTATTTAAAACCACTTACTTTAGTCTGATCGCCCTGATGACTTCTTGTCAAGTATGATCATTTCTTGAAAAGCTAAACTTCGCTACACTAGTTCGTTATTATCAAAAAGCGTGGCAGACTTGGTAGGAAACATTTGTGAAACCCATGAAGACAGTATTGTTTCTTAAAGCAGAGGTAATAAAAACAAATTCCGTAATCAACCCGTAAGCTATCGGTTAACTACTAAACGATATGTAGTCAGACGATAGAAACCCACCCCAGCTAAGAAAACATATAGTCAATGTTGAATACCACTTGATATTGTTTGTCTGAATCTTCCCATTGAATTAAGGCTATATCGAGGCAATACGCACAGTAAGCACATATACCGATAAGAGACTGATTAATTGCAGTCCTAAACATCTGGGTTCGAGTCCCAGAGTGGACATCAACTCTGAGATGCAGGTACATCCAGTTGACGAGCCCCAAATAGAACGAAACGCGTGTCCTGGATTCCACTGCTAGCCACTATCCATCTTTGCTTATAATGCTGAACACCCTCTAACCACTTATCATCTGACCTATTTAATGCACTCATACTTTATACACCTATTTTTTACTTGATCGTCAAACCCCTTCCCCTCTGTAATTAATAGATTCTTTATCTCTATGACTTATTGATGGTATTCTAGTTCTGTGTTTCCTAACATATTTTAACACACCTCATGATTAATTACTTTAACGTCTTATAAACAAGGCTTGGCCATGGGCACTCAGGCTCGTGTTTTGACTATGTAAAGCTCTTGCCCCAGTTGTTTTTCTGTTTGACTATTCATCAGACAATGTTGAATCATTTTTGTATCATGGTCGTAAAAGGGTGTCCTAACAGGGAGCGCTACAACTAGCTATTTATCCATCATCCAATTATTTTTTCAAGTAGATGACGGCAAAGTGGACAACATATTGTTTATTTATTACTAGCTTGGTTTCTGCTTGTGGATTTATCTACAAACTAAAATACTTATTCTTTAGCCTCCACTTTCATTCCCCTATTCAACACAGTCAAAGGCACAATGGATCAGCAATGTTAGGGAATTTAAATCATGCGACCAATACTTCCTAAGGATTTAGTTCATCCACATCAAGCTAAAAGCAATGATGAGTACTTAAGTCTGAATAAATAGGAATCTTAAATAAGTCGACTCCGCTTTGCCAGCTGAAAATAAACTAGTCATATTTTTAAAGTTTAGCTTTCATATTTGCTAAAGAAATGGCCGATTACACTGAATTAATTAATCCTTCCTAGATATCCGCAAGATAGGCATTAATAAATGGATTCATCCAATACTTATAATTGGGTCTTAAAAACACAAGATTCAGGAGGGTTGCATGACTCAATTTTTAAGTCTTTTACGAAAAGATAGACTGCTTATGGCACACATCAAACGTGGAGTAGTCAGTAAACATTCTGCTCATCTAAACGGTAATGTTGTAAATTGTAAACCGTAAAACTCACTTTTGAAGATATGTTATTGATATAGTTCCTGACAAACGTGATTTACATAAGTTACTAACATATAGAGCTTATATAACGTTGTTACAAAAGCCAAAATATCATCTATCTTTTTTTAGTAGTCAGTATACAATTAGCAGCGATATCGTTTCTAAAGTAAGCACAGCTTTAAAATATGGATAAAAAAGAAATGACATCCCGTAATATACAAGACGTTCAGAGATATCGTTCTCCAACAGATTAATTCAAAGTGAAATCACTCCAGATTAAAAGAATAAAGGTTTGGTATTTAGAAGTATTAAAATAATTTATATGGGTTACACACAGTGGTATTTGAGTACGCGATGAAACCCAAACCCCGATTATCCTAGGTGGCTGGAACCAATGAATAGGAACCCCGAGAACTAGGTTTCGAGCTAATCGGTACTATTCAATAAGATATATCTGAAGTTAAGAAGGATTATGCTAATCTAGGGGACTCAAACGCGACCAATAAAATTAGGTCTATAATTATAATATTTTACAAAGGCCAAAATGAGGTATGTATTAATTAATTTGACAATGTTATATGTTAAAAATGAGGTCTGTCTGTACTATGAAGTGATTAAACACAATAGTCTACCATTAAATAATCAATTAATTTAAGACTAGTACATTCATCACTTCAAAACAAGTTGTTTTGTCAGTCAGTTTCTGTCTAGTTTTGAAAACCTGAGTAATGTAATAAAAGCAGTTGATATGTTGGATAAAATTAGCTTTAAAAACGTATTACTTGTACACCATTTTTCATTTATATGACCAGGAAATAAATTATACTCAATGTTCGTATACTTTCTTTAGTTAAATGGTGGTTAACTCTAAAGAAAACAGTCTATTATAGAGAATACATGTGTACAATGTGCCTTTCCCTAAGAAACAATAATAATTGTACTAAATAAACCGCTTCTCAATCAATTCAATACAATTTAATAAATAAATTATAATCCGAAAATGTACAAAGTAATAGTATCACGTGTATTGTGAAGTGTTTACCGAATTTTTGTACATTATATTTAAAGTTAGGTCATATCACCACTGTCATAGTTAAATACATAAAGTGCGAAAACCCAAATCCACTGATCTGTTATGCAATAATTAGTCACAAAATCAATTGTTATTAGTCTGTGAGCAAAAATATAAAGTCTCAATTAACTTGTGAATTAGACATTATAAAAATAAGTATTTATAAAGTATAAATAATGAAGAACACTGATGAAGAAGAAGATAAGGATTGGCAATCCATTAATGCGAACATGGAAGTGAAGAAAGAAGAAAACAATGAACATACATCATGAAATTCCAAAATAGCAAATAATGAATGTAATTCACATGGTATCAGCACAAAAAATCATATTTCTGAAACATCTGTATAGATTTGTTGATAATGCACAAATTTAGCAAATAGACTGAAAACAAAAAAAAAACAAAAATAGAAGTGAAGAATATAATAAACATCAAACGATTCACAGGATTCGAACAGAGTACGTTGGATAGGGATGAAAGGGTAGGAAGCAGAGAAAGGAAGTATAAAGCTAGAGTGAACAACGATAACCCACCACTATATAGGAATAATATATATTTCTAAAATCTCAGCGAATAAATTTGTAACCCACCACGTTTTCATCCAAAAGTGAGCTTTGAGAAAAAAAGGGATGAAAAAGAAATATATAAGAAATATACTTCGAATATAGTTCAAAATATACACGAATAGAAACAATCATTATAAATTACTGATTTCATTGAAACGATCAAGCTTCTCAAGTTTACAAACGCAAAACATAACCTGAATATAATGTTAAACATTTAAAATTGTATTGTATTACCCTTAGAAATGTGAATGAATTGGGTCTAACGCCGAAGATAAATGACCAAGTTAGTATACAATCACTAGTTCCTCTTCCCAAATTTTCCTGAAGGGAGCACAGAACATTAATATAATTACCTCTATGTCTGACTTTATTGTTTAGGCTAATATGTTGTTCGATCTTGTTGCTCTCCCCCTCTCGATCTGTCCGATGTCTACGCTGATTTCTCCGGTTGTTTGTGAGATAACATCTATAAGGTCTGCGTGTGCTGCTTCCATGGTCAGTGGGTTTAGTGAGGTTGACCTATTTAAGAGTTCTTCAAAGTGTTCTATCCATCTATTCCTCTGTGCTTGAATCTCAATGATAGGTCTGTTTTCTCTGTCCTTGATAGTTCACTTTGGTTTACTAAATTTTCCAACTAGCGTCTCCATTGTATCATATAGTTGTCCCATATTTCCCTCTCCTACAGCTTTTTCTGATGTCATCGTTAGGACTTCTAAATACTTACTCTTTTCAGACTTAATTCGCTTCGTTTGTTTGTTTGATTCTGTACATCCAGCCTGAGGCTTGGTCGCCTCTGCTGTTGTGCGATTGTTGCTGAATGCAGTCTTCTAGTTCTTCTTATCTTGAATCTTGGTCAGAGTATCAATGGAAATCAATTCTTTATATTGGTAACTCTTGCTTCCTAGCACCTCCTTACATATCAAAGTTGTTGCTTCTTTATTCTCTCCTCAGTTGTCCTCCACAATGGTTTCTTCACTTTCTAGGAGATCTTGTCAGCCTTAGAACTTGTTACTAAGAGTTATCTTGAATTCGCTGAGTATGTCAGCACCTCGACGGGAGGCTATAATTGACTTTGTAGTGCTCCTTGACAATTATCTAATACTTCTTTGACTTCAGGTTTAGCTCGGCCACCACGAGGTGGTGGTATGGAGCTATATACATCCCTCTATTTATTCCTACGTATTCCATGAACCTGAGTTTTTAATTTATGCAGATGTTATTGCTCTCGTTCTCTGTAGTGTGGTCCAGTGACATCCCTGTAGCTTTGTACACGCGTTTGTCGGGAAAATTTTGCCACCTACAACCATGTTATTGGAAGCAAATATGTACCTATTTTTCCGTTCCTTTATAACAGTTCATGTCGCGCTATCACGGCTTCATACCCGGTGTTGTCTATTCCGACCTTCGTGTCCAGGTTCTCTATCACGATAGTCAGATAATTTCCTGAACAGTCCCCTCAAATGCACTGCAGCCTCTTCGTTGCTATTGTTTGTGGGTGCGTAGCACTGAGTAACATTCATTCTAATCCCTTCCTTCTTTGCTTTACAGGACGGATGCTTTGACCTTTCAGCCATGTGATTCATATTCTATAAGCTCTTTTAGTGCTTTTTTGAGCACCACCAGACTAACTCCTTGTGCGAGAATATTTTCTTCCTTATGATCAATATACAACAGTACCTCCTCTCCCGAAGCTAATCTTCTCTGTAAAAATTGTGTTCAATGGACTTCACTTAATCATAGTAGATCCCATTGCATTTCTGTCGCCATTTGGATGATCGTTCCAGTCTGTTATATTTTCCGGACATTCCATGTACGTATATTAATTCCTATTCTGATTGTAAGAAGAGGGATAAACTTCGTGGCTTTCGAAGAATCACAGCTTCCACCATTAAGTATCATAACGTTTATATATGAAGACCTTTCAAATCCCAGGGCAGAGTTTAAATGGTTTAAATGACTATTTCTGGTTAGTGTTTTTTGAGCAAGGTTCTCTCTTGCTAAATACGGTTGCTAATCTTACACCCAACCCTCCTTTTTCATCTGGGTTGGGACCGGTAGTAATTCTAGAGGGGCCCCAGGAGGAGCCTTTTTATTATTATCTTACTCTGAATAGTTGAAAAAACAATTGGATAAATTTATCTTGAGAACTTGAATATGCTTATTTTTCAATAGCTTACAATTTCAAAAAAATTGTCAAGTAATACCATTAGCTAGTTTTAACAAAATACAATAAGTTTAATTATATTGAAAATTTCTCATTAAAAATTCCGTTCAGTAAAACAGTAAACTGCTCCTAGTTAAACTATTTAAGTCAATCAAAACTGCCAATTTACCTATCACTACCAACTTATACCAAAGACAGTAAGAAATTTTTCGATGACAATAGGAAAGTCGAATAAAATGAATTGACGATTAAATATTACGTTTGATTTAGGAAAATAATCAATTACAGATCTCAGAAACTTACTTTGAACGCCATAAAAGACAAGCGTACGCAACAGCCGCTACATAGTCAGTAGAGAAGCATATAACTATAATGAAGCAAAATGAAACAATAAGAAATGTTTGGATATTCAGTATTAAACTAAAAGTTAAAAATAATGAACTCACAAAAAGACATGACATCACTATCGAGTTCATTAATATATGACTCGATTATCACAAAGTGCCAAATAAGATAAGTAATAAAGGATAAATAGATATTCTAGTATAGTATGAATAACCTCAGAATAACTTTTTGATATAAACGGTTATATCAATTCATGTAAACAAATTATGGTAAACAGGGTCTTAAAAAAGATGTTGTCTATGTCTTAGATTCAAGTTCGGAATCCCAAGTTGTATGTTCCAACAAACAAGTAGGCTATTAGCTCATTGAATATTTTGTATTTACCATAGGACATAAATTCTAAAATAGTCCCACGAAGTATAGTATCTTACCTTCAATTTAGGGACCCGCATCAACATAGTTAAAAACCTAACACTTTTTAGATAATTTATGACATTGAATAGCCAGACTTTCAAATATGACTTGCGAACTACCAAGTGATAAGCTTTTTAACATTATTTTGGCATTTCGTACCTAAACAAGTGATGTTAGTCTGTAATGAAGACTATTTGCAAGTCTCTTTATCAAAATTTCCTCTCCATTGCTTAGTCATGATTGATACATAAAGATCGGTCACTTACACTTTTATTAAGTCATTCTCACTGTAACTGGATTATACTGTTAAATTAAAATTTATTTCTAAAATAACACCAAAAGTATAACATTGTCTCTGATTCATATGATCTGGTTAACTTTACTGAATTCTGAAAGATAGATAATTCGTTAGAGATCCTATCACAAAGCTTTAGTCCCTTTTTAATATGGTAAGTTATGCACTAAGTCACAACTACTAACATACGTAAAGAAACCATTTAAAAATCTGTATACCTGATAACATTCTTTAGAATTGTTTGTTATCACTACCAGTCTTAAGTAAGTAAGTAAGTAACTAACTAACAGTCTAGAAATCATGTTAAATAGAATCAATCTGAGTTAGAGAAACAAAACGTGTATATCAACAAATATAGCATGCCGAGAAAAGGAGGTACATATCCCAAAGTACATCCGAAACTATAAACAATGTAACTAAAATAACTTTGCAAGTTAAGTGATCATAACACATTAAGTTGCTAATACTTTGAAGAAGTTGATTACGCTTAGAAACTCCCGATTCCTTGGCTCTTTAATAGCACGTCAACATTAGTATATGGTTATTCATAAAATTCGCCCCTCATAATTTAACTGAAAATTAAACATTTTTCAAAAAGATCAAAAAGAATATTCAGTGTTAATCTACGTTCAGTCCGTCAGTCAGTAACAACGTAGAACTTCGTACGTACATACATCAGTTCCAGTTGCCATAACACATTAGCACAGAGATGAAGTTGTCGATTCAAATCCCATATTGGTAGAAGTAGCGAGAGTATAAGTATTATGTGAAAGATAAGGGTTTGAAGATGTTATTCAAGGAGTATAATCCAATGAAAAAAATTTGGAAAGATAAAAAGATAAAGACATGAGGAATTCAGAAAATTAGAATTTGGTAGAACACAGAGTCGATGCACCTTCGCCATAGCAAACGATTTTGAGCCATGTCATTCAAGGTCTCTAACCATCGGTTGCTATCATCTCGCGAATCCCAACCAGGTAGTCTACACCTACCAACATGGCTCAGTCTAATTGTCAGTGACTTCATGGATTTGTGCCACGTTTTGTTTTGACCGCCCCTAGCTTTCTTCCAACCTACTCCTACACCATAAAACATTGTACGTCGGGCAAGTCGATGGTTCAGCAACTGCTTATAATGACACATACATATTCTGACTAGTTCACTATGTAACCATAATGCATATTAAGGATTAATAATGAAAATCTCATAGTTGTGAAATTAAATTGGCTAATTAAACTTTCTTCTTACAAAGATAAAAGTTCACTACAGTCAATTGTAGTTTCAAAGATTGTTCAGATGTCTAATAATAATAATAATAATAATAATAATAATAATAATAATAATAATAATAATAATAATATATTCAAATACTGTCAAGCAAATAATATTCCATGAATATATAATTAGATGGACAATAAATGGAAAAAATAGATAGTTGACAATTTCATAAATTGTAAAATACAAAATCTATACAAACCGATAGTGTCATGTTATGAAGCATTAAAAATCTTTATTTAAATAAAGAAAAAAATCAGATGAGTTCAAACTAATCAATAGTGTAATTTTTTTTCATATTCATGTCACTTAATGTTGAAATATGACAAACAAATTTCCAAGAAATAAGATAATCCAAAAAAACGTATTCCGTTCAATAAAGTCAATCATAATAATACATTACATTCAATACTATTATAATAAATATGTTCACCTAGATAACGATGAACAAATGAATATTTAGAAATAGATCATAATGTTTAAGATAGCTAATTTCTTGTGAAACATTTTCACATTTAACTCAGATAACATTTATAGCATTTTAAACTCATACAATCATTGTACAGATTGTCATTTTTAATTGTTTGAACCGCAATGCCGAAATTTCAAAATGAAGTGGTCAGTGATGATAGGATTTCGTAGTGTAATTTTCAACTGTTTCATTATTTTATATAGTTGAAATCATGAGTCGATTGAAGGTAGACCACCATGGAAAACTTGGAAGTACTGGACGGCCGTTTCGTCCTATTGTGGGACTCCTCAGCACTGCACATCCACGATCCCGCCTCGCGAGATTCGAACCCAGGATATTGGTGAATGGTTGCCCAACTTCGTAGATTGGTTGAAGTTAGACATTAACACCGTTGAATGCTGAGTCAGTATTCTAGTGGTTAGACGCTCGCGCACGAGACTGATAGGTTCTGGGTCTGAATCTCATGAGGTGGGATCGTGGATGCGCACTGCTGAGGAGTCCCACAATAGGACGAAACGGCCGTCCATGGTGGTCTAGCTTTAACTGACTCATGATTTCAACTATAGAAAATTATTGAAATCTCCACAAAACCCCCCTTCTGTTTCATTGTTTGACAAAAGTTAACAACTAATGGATCAAACTCTCACTAACGGACTGAACTTTAATGACTTTTTCTAAGAAGTTACTGCGTGCATTTGTACAGTATCAACTGCATGGGCATTTTTCTTGATAATTTCATTTCGCTGTGTTGATATGTGACAACTTGAACTGATGTACACATCCAATAGGTTCTAGGTTGCTTATGAATTCTGTCTCTAGTATATTGTTTGTAATCTATTACTTAGTCAGTGATTTCTTGTAAATAATTATCCTCACGCTGTACCAATGACACAAACTAGTATCTTATGAGTGGATATAGGTGATGTCAGAGACTCAACTTATTACAATAATATCGAGATTCCAATAAGTAATCAGATGCAGCCAATAAAAATAATCACTTAAGCTAGTTGACTAATCAATCTACTTCGCAAAAATAATAAAACAAAATACTCATATACCTTCATGTTTACTTGACAATTTGAGAAATTACCTCTAATAGTATTCGAGTATCTTTCTAAGAATTCGTTTTTTCTCACTTCCTATGTTCACAATAGAATAGGTGATATCTAAGAAACTAAGCCCTAAGGCATCAACAGTTCAAGAAGGTAGTGTCAAATTGAGTACCAAGTTTGTTTTTTAACACCTGCCACAGTGAAACTGTACTAATTGAGTGAATAGGACAACTCTCCAATACAGTATGAAAAACTGAGTAATTATTATTTAGCACCCATATGAAAGTTTCTATCCTAAGCTACAATATACAACTGTAGACGTCATTGAAAATAACCTCCAAGTTAAATCAATTCATGTGGACCGACTTTTCGGTTGGCACCTTAGAACTGAGTGTTAACATTAATGAGCCAATTTTAAATGTAAATTGATAACATTACACTCAAAAATAAGATGTAACATATATTTTGTGTATTATTTCGAAAACAAAGGCGTGCTTGTTAAACGTCGATAATTTTAACTCAATAACAAAGTTCATTTACATAGCTTATCAACAAACTTCCTATATAAGGGTTTGTTATATATACTACGTTGTAAAAATGAAGTACTTGGGGAGAAAGGTTTAAACCTACAACCAAATGGTCAAAAGTTGAGGTAGCAAAAGCTAACAAAAAGAAAGTAACTTTACTAACTGCAAAATTCAACTCTCCAAATAAATACTTACGTGATATAGTTTTTGTTCGCCACAAGGGAGATACGCTTGTCTCACCAATAAACACTACTAATGGTAAGATCACAATCCATAGGAGATAACCAGCGGCAAATTGCATTGTATTGATATTTGGGCCCAAGATACATAAATCCATATTATACGACTCAGAGTAAATTTGTGCTATAAAATGCCTGCGTCCTACAACTACCAATATCCAGAACACTAGGCAAATTCTTAAAGCTAACAATAAACAACCAGGCACTGTATTCCAAACAGAAAAATCGATAACAGGATCTCTATCAAACTAAAAGACATAAGAAAAAATCAACCATTACACAGAAAGTCTTACAAGAAATTTAATTAATTTTAATTGAATTAAGTCTAGTCACAAGAAACGAGTCCAAGATACAAAAACGTTGCACAATAATTTTGCGTTAAAGAGTGATTTAAATTGGAGTTGAATATATTTGCTCAGTGGCGATTTTATTAGTTGTCTGCAATGTACTGTATTCTGTGATCTATTCAGTTATTCAATCTAACAAGAATTTACGAAGAGAACTAACTCTATGCATCGTCAGTGGATAGATAGTTGAAACAATTAATCATCTACATATTTAAGCAACTTTAACACAATTACGTCAAGTGTTATAATTTCTCTTATTACGACCCAACTATTCCTATTGCTTAGTATTCTTGGACACCAATTCACTCGACAAGTCCCCAAATCAGAACACAGTTGAACAGCAACGAAATTATATTCCAAATAACAAGTGTAGATGGAAGTAAGAAGCACAATAAGAGAAACGTTAGTATATTTATAGTTTTTACATGAGAAGACTCTAGAGTCTTCTTCAAGTATCGACTAGCGCTGATTGGATAAGAAATAGCCGTTCAGTGTGCACAAACACAATCGTGCATGGAACGTGCTTTAATCCAATGTATATCCCGCTAAAATCAAGTAATAACAATAGACCAACTGCGAATGTTCGTCAATTTAAATTTTCTTCAAATCAGTATGAAGGATAAAACAATTAACAACATGAAAAGCAAACAAGTCAAAATAACAATTTTAATCATAGTGTAAACTAGGAATACAGGAAATGTAGTTTAGGAAGAGTGAATGAAAACGGAAAAAGAAAAACATTGATTAGCGTTAAAACTCAACATTTAGAAAAAGTTGAAAAATGAATGGTATTCTAATTGAGTGTAAACCATTACACCAAAAGTATCCCCAACTACAGATTACAAAATATATAAGTTATAATGAGATTGATAAAGCTACTTTAAAACAATAAATCATACTTTAGACTATCACTGGTGAAATCTTTAAGTCTGTTTTTCCTATTAAAAATTTAATAGTGTTCTTTAGGTTGAAACAGATAATTTTACAAATAAATCATTCAACTCATGAAATAAAATATCCTCATAATGGATTAATAGCCAGTTGAACAGAACACCTTCAAATAAATAAAATGCTATAGAAGTTACCTGACTGGTTGTCGTCATCTACAATATTTATTGATAAGAGAAAGGATCTTGCATAATGAATAAAAAGAACTTTTATTAAGTCTAGTTAATGAATAGCAGTGGAAACATTCTCCAGAATAATAGTAATAATAACTAAACGTTTAAATAATTTGAGCATAAAATCACCACATTTCCACAACAACCAGTTACAATAAGATTTCTTTCATTTTTTCTGAACTGACCCTGTCGGAAAACGCTGACCATTTATTGTCAATGTTAATGATCCCATATTACTACTGAGGCACTGATAGTAAAGAATGGTAATCGGTTTAAAATGATCAAAACGGAGACACTGTATGCGTTTTTCCTTGTGACTAAGCGACCCACTACAGTTGGGCGTGTTTAGTTGAAGCCACAATTTCTGTGAAAGACAAAAATAATGAAGGACTTATCAAACTAAAGTATCTAAGGCAAAGTCCGAACCTATTTACCCCATTCCAATGATTAAAAAATCGAATACTTCAACAAATAAGCTGCCGCTTAAATTGATATGCACAAAAAAGAGCCGATTAACTGAAATTCTATCCTACCACTTCAAAAACTCGCGAGCACTAAAAAGTTAACAGTCATGGTAGTGAGTTCTCATTTATAAAGTCTATTAAAAATGGATAGGCTTATCTAAATCAATGGACAGACAGAAGAGCCAGGAATATGGCCCGAGTAAAAAGGTTACAAAACATCGACAATTTACTTGAATCTTTAATATCACCTTACATTTTTGTTTTGCATTAAATATTTATCAGATACTGTTCACTTTCCAATTGGTGTTTGAAAGTTATCATAAAAAAATACTTAGATTGTACCTAGTGAAGGACTTCATAAATATCAAGTTTATTTTAGAACTGTAGAAACATTACAAGTAACCGATATTAGTGATCAACATAGTCTGAGTATTTCACAAACAAAATCAAAACATTTAGTCCATCTTAGTTTTTCCAAGAAAATAAATGTAAATGCACTGAGATTCTATTTCCGACATCTATGGAAGGCATCTCTCATATGACTATTGGTCAGTAATACCTATACTTCAGGATCATATCGACCACAAGTTTTATATCAAATTCTAGCACTACAATGAGTACGATACATTACACATAAGTACATACAATCACTAGGAGGAGAAAGTATGAACTAAAAATAGTAATATCGAAAGTAGCAGAAAACGAAAAAACTCACCATAGCCCATATATACAGTAAAGCTTTGACCCCAACCAACAAAGTAACCAATAAAATCACATACGGCCAAAATGATGTGGACTTTTGATTGGTTGATGGCTTAGCATAAATATTTTCTCGAATAGGATCGTAACTGTACAATTTATGACTAAATTTACCAAGGTGAAGGAATCCGGTAGGTAAAGTGGAAAACACTTTGGAGGTTAGTGGACAAAGAGCTCTTGAAGTATCACAAGATTGGAATGCGATTGACGGACATTGTGGACTGAAACCCATTTGACATGTACACAGTAGAACAGCTAGGAACACTGAGTCTGCCCACTGTGTAATTACTGTTCCCAACTCTGAAATCAGACCTAGTCCTCGACCATCAAATGAGAAAACACCCCAGTGAACAGCAGCCAACAGTGTTCCTAGACTAGCCAACCAAAGATGAGTAAGGTAGAGGCAAACATGAAGTGAGCAGTTATTGACCAGTTTGATCTGTATAAAAAACCATTATCAGGTAAAATAAAATTACTAAGTAACAATAAAACAGAGCAACGATAATAAGCCATCTACATTATTCTACAAAAAGATCACCGGTTAAACTAGGACTTATTTTGAGTGTAAACGAAATCGATAAGGCACTGATGCCAGTAGAGTGAAAAATACAAGCGTTATTAATATCGTCAAGAAAACAATATCGACGAATGAACCAAGGAATATAGCCAAATATGAATGGACAAAAAAAATATACATCTTGATTAACAAATGCTTTCTCTTTCGATACATTACAAAAGGGTTTTGTATTTGCTACTTAGCATTCAGAAGATTACATCAAATCGGGGTGTCCGTGTATTATGACGGTACTGCATACATGCTCATCAATACATGAAATCCAAATATATATGGCAAAATTTAATCAAACTGAGTAACGAGCAACACTAACGAGCAAATCTTGATATTTTCAAGTTAGATCATATTTAACAATGAACTACAACCCCACCACGAATTTTCAAGTAAAACGCCTTCAGTGATATGGTTTTCTTGTAAAGCACCCACCTTGGTGCAGTCGAACTTTATAAGGATTTTCAATCAACAGTGTTATACGATATCTTCAAACAAAGGAATATAGTTAGAGCCAGACGTATACCATTAACCGGGTGTTCGTATCAATGCTCCTCGATTGGGATAGGCGTTGCTTCCATAACTTTTATCCTAATTAGCCAACAATTTGAATTCTTAATAATATCCCACCACCCGAATTTTCGAACTGTGCGCGTACCGTTGAATAAGGCGCTCGTATCCTAGAAAGCTGGTTCTCAAGGGCACCAAAAAATTCTAGAACTACCTGCTCATTTTCCCCTGTATCAAAGTCGATTGGAACAAAAGGTATAACTTTTGCTTTCCTTTGTTTTTTTAAGTAGTTGAAGGCTGGATCAAGTACAAGATTGGCTGAGGTGTTTCTGCGTTGCATTAAATCTTGCGCCGATATTTCGATTGGCTTAGTACGAGATGATAACGCCTTCACTTGAAAACACTTTTGTTTACACTCCGTCACACTACATAATAATTAAAACACTTCAAAAATAGCTTCTTTACTTCTTTCCAGCAATAAATACTAACACCTAAGTCAGAGCAGTTTACTTTATTTAAATTATTTGCTAGTTTTTGATGAATTGTTACTAACCATATACTACAAGAAATTATATTCAAACAGCTTAAACGAATATTCTTTTCTCTGAACATATAACGAAACCTAAATCAATACAATACTTAAACATAATAATAATAAATTATAAACAGTCAGTTAAAACGTACATGTGCTGTTATATTCAAAATAATATAGAGTGACAGAAATATAAAAAACATTTGTGCAATTCCATGTGTTTCAAAAGAGAAATGATGTTCAAATTGATTGAAAGACTGTAATTTTGGTTCACCATTAACAAGCCATATATCATAAATCAGTGTTAATAAGGAATTAGTTGATGATGACGATGATGATGATGATAAAAATGAATTTGAATAACGAGGAATTGCAGTAGTCTCCCATTTACATGTAGTTAAATTACGTTTACACGCGACCAAACTTAAATACCAATAACTTTATATAAAGAGGAAAATAAATCTAAATTCAAATTACATCAATCAATGGAAAATAATTTCGAAAAATTGCATTTCTTCTATATTACGTCAACTACAAATCAAAAATGAACTTTGCCAACTATCATATGACGGAGCAAATTGCAGTTACTTAGCTACCGAATAAATTTATTATTTATATTCTAATTACTAACTTTAAGGATGAATCAATACAAAATTCTGGTAAATAATACATTTTACTTGTAAAACATATATAACAAAAATATGTTTTTAACTTTACCGCATGTAACTGCATTATTATCTAATGGTAGGTAGCATTCATCGACACTTTTTACTGCGTTCATTTTTGTGGATAGATGAATGAAACACAAGACTTAATTATCACATATTGTTTTCTGTTATATAAATAAATGATTCATAATTCAACATAGAAAGCCTGAGATAATCTTGCTATGAATTCAAAAATCCTGCATCTCATTGAAAAAAAAATTTTCAAAAATGAATTTTGTGTTGATTTTATTAATCATTATCTCAAAAATCCTAACCATTGTTTGCAGATAGTTACCGAATACTTAGGTGCATGAACTTTGATTCAATCTATCTGAAACACTGTGCCAATCAAAAACCAACTACATAAGTGAGAGTGATTGGTCATATATATATATATATATATATATATATATATATATATAAATCATTTTTAAAATTTCATCATGTTTTAGAACAAATGTAGGTAGAAAACAACAAGTTTAGTCGTAATGAAATGTTCGCTAATTGATATCAAAATCCAAAGAAAATTCAAAAAACAAAAATTGTTACTAAGGGTGATGACATATATATGTGCGCAATGGAATTGACACTGAAATGCGAAACAGCACAAACCCGTAAACAAACAACGATGATTTAGTCATTTTGTACTACGAGGTTTTATTAGTAATATATTACCTATGGTTCTTATAAGTTAGACGAGAAAAGCTGGTAAGATGAAGCACGTTTTTTCGGTTTAATTAGTTACGATTTCTTACTCAATAACATGAAAATTGAAAGGAAAACAAAATAAAATACGAGGCATCTTAAAATGACAACAACTGCACAGGTCTTCGGTACATCTAATACTTAAACAATGTTCAAAGTATTTAATCGTGACTACTTTATCGCGCAAGAACATGATTTTTAAATTATTTATATTTTATTTTATTTAGACACATAAATATTGGTACAATGAAGCACCAGATAAATATGCGCCTCACAAATCTCATTCGATTTGTGTGAGGGCTGTGATACTGCCCAGGTGCCCAGACTGAAGCAGGTGGTTTTCTTAGGGAGCCACACCCGGAGCCTTTGACCTGAAGGTCTAGTCCACAAGGCAGTGGAGCATCGTGAGGAGATGCAGTCCCATGATAGCCGGTGATCAATGATTGATTCGTACGCCATTTGTTCCTTCAGGATACTGGAGCCCATGTGCACCATTGGTTTGGAATCAGAGTTTTCCAACTGCCCTAGGTGGACTCGCCTTGTCCACCAACCCGGTTAAAGCCCCTGACATTCGCTTTTCGTCCTCTCAATTTCGTAAGCAACACCCCCGCCACGAGAAGGCAGTGAGTAGGACTTCCCTGGCAGAGGCTATATATTCGCGTGGCCATGTGAGAGTATTTCGAGAGGGAGAGGTGACTCTCCCCACTCTCGGCCGTACCAGGGCATTTGGGGTGATGATTACTTTCATTATAATATACAAAATAATGAACCAATTGTTTGATTTTATGTACAATCGAAATGAAATTAGAGTGATTGAATTTCGGGAGAAAATAGACAATATTTATACGAACCGTGGTTGCCGAAGGTCTTGCACAACAAAAGTAAATTGTGAATTCGGTACTACACTTTCAGGATCATCTTCCTCTGCGCAAAGCCCAGATGAAGAACAGGGTACGGATCGAAGTAAATCCATTTCTCCTGTGGGGGAACACGTCTTGTGCCAAGCAAGAGAGTTGATTTTATCAAACATTTTGTTGCAACGTTCAGTTTCCATGAGCCATTGACTTTCCTGATATGTCATACCAGTTACATTTTGTGTCCATATTGATTCTGTGGCATTTCCATAGAGATCCATAATGAACTCACCGTCAACCAAAACCAATGTAGCAATATCTGTCACATTCTGTGCTGTGAGGCAAAGCAAAATATAATAAATACCTATTTCATGCGATTTCCAAGTTTTACGGGTTACAAAATAATTAATTAAAGTTAGTACTTAAATTAACAGGAACGTAAGTTGGAGATATTAGTTAGTTTTTTTACTCCTCTGTTCAGTGTTTCCTAGACATCGAAATAAAAAGCAGGAGTGTATGATAAACACTACTCGCCATGACCATCTTAGATGGTAATTTTCATAACTTTTTTAAATGACAAGGAGTCTTTGAAAAGAGGTCTTATCGACAACTGTTTTACTGAATTGCATATCTACATAGTTAATTTTCATTTGAAGGTCAAAAAGTATAATTAATGAGGAACTAAGATATGCCTATGTCCTAAAATCCTACGCACAGTATTAGTTCGATGTCCGCCACTTATGCGAACAAGATTGGAATAAAGAAAAGAGGAAGGGAAAAAAGAGTAGTCGGAAGAACAACATGATTGGATTGGAAGAATGATGGAGCATGTAATGGACAACTCAATGATGTATACCCCCAAATGCCCTAGTACGGCCGAGAGTGAGAAGGGGCCGCCTCCCTCTCAAAATGCTCTCACACGGTCACACGTATACAGCCTCTGCCAGGGAAGTCCTACTCACTGCCCTCTCGTGGCGGGGGTGATGCTTGCGAAATTGAGATAACGAAAAGTGAATGTCCGGCGCCTTAAACGGGCCGATGGACACGGTGAGTCTTTTTTCTTATATACTAGGTCACTTCTCTTCCTCTATTCCCACTTCATGTACTCCCGTTTTTCAACTTACACAGCAGCTCGCTCATAATGGAAACTCTGCTCTATCCAAACGATCTCAAGTCACTGTCCGGTCGAAAGTGAATGCTTCCACCAAATACGAATACTGAACTAGTCTTTCTGAAACCACGTACACCATTCAAACTGGTTTTCTTTAGCGTTCGCACACTAATGCAGATCGGACAACAGATAGGGCTGGCTATGTCTCTGGAAGGTCTTAATGTTGATGTTTGTTGTCTATCCGAGACCCGTATTCAAGACCCTGATGAAGTACTACAAATTCGCTCTCCATCTGTCGCTTCAAAAGGCTTGTTTTACGTGCGTTTATCCAGGGACCCTGTGGCATTTCCGTCTGGTCTTGCTGGCGTTGGTGCCGCACTAAGTGCTATAGCTGAGGCAGCACTAGTCGATTGGATCCCCATTAACAGTCGGTTATGTGCTGTTAGATTAGAAAACTCCATCAAAGTGAGAAGAAATAGACGTGAGAAACGGTGGCTTTTTGTCATCTCCGCCTAAGGCCTAATAGATTGCAACCCAGATGCAACCAAAGATGAATTCTACCACCAATTAACTGTTCTTCAGAAAGTGTGTTCAACAGATATTGTAGTACTAGCCGGAGACTTGAATGCTCAGGTCGGGCGTCTAGGCACAGAGGAGAGTCGTTTAGGTGGCCGATGGGGACTTGTTAGTCGCAGGTCAGATAACAGAGACCGTCTACTGCAACTGTGCACAAACTACAACCTGTTTCGGTTAGCGCTAAATTCCGGCACAGTCATCGCCGGTGTGCCACCTGGCGTTCTCCCTCTGCATCTCAAGCATGGACTCAGATTGATCAGTTACCGCTAGCATGGTTGTGTACAAGACTGTCGCTCCTTTTGGAGTACCTATCTGGACTCTGATCATGTCCTGGTCTGTGCCAATTTTACCTTACTTTTCAGTGGTCAACGAATTGATCGTCATCAACGGATTGATGTCAGCAAATTGGTTGCAACTTCTGTTGCAAGTAAGTATCGAACCAAGCTAGCTACCATCCCACCAAAAAGCATTGGTTACAACTACATGACAGCATGAAAATGGCGAGTAAAGCCTCATGCGGCTTCGCGAAACGTCTTGCTATTAAGCACTGGGTTTCTTCAGGCTTTTTACAACTCATTGAAGCCCGTCAGTCTACTGAAGGTGACCGTGAGTTTGACCACAAACGAAGGCTGTTACGTAGTGAAATTGGACAAAGCTTGCGTAAGGACCGAGAAGCTAATGAGGATGAAGGGGTGCCAATCACTAACATCTATCAACGTCTTGGACGATGGGCAGAATTCTCTGAAGGGCGATTCAACTGGCCTGCTGCTCCGGCAACATCGATAAGACTGTCCTGACGTCCGTGGCCTGTGAAGACTGATCCATAAAGTGGGGCGGAAGTCCGCAAGGAACTCCAACTTTTAAAGCGCTACAAATCACTGGGCCCAGATGAATCACCTCTGGCTCTTTTTAAAAATGGTGGTGAATTTCCGGCTAATGAACTCACAACGTTGTTTACAAAGGTTTGGGAGCTAGAGAGTGTTCCAACGTCATGGAATGAGTCGATAATTGTCCCGATCTTCAAAAAGGGTTCACTTCGTTCCTGTAACAACTATCGTGGGATAAGTCTACTTCCGATTGTGTCCAAATTATTGGCTTCTGTCATACTTCGTAGGTTGTTCAAAACCCGAGAAAGATTGACTCGCAAGGAGCAGGCTGGTTTTCGTTCTCATTGAGGATGTATCGATCATATCTTCACCGTCCACCAAATGTCAAAATACCATCATACTTATCACAGGTGGTCAGTGTATGACATGGTGCCGTAGTATGAAAGAAAGCTGCAAAGGGCTGGCTTCTGTTGGTCCTTCACGACTCCCTGGTTGAGGTCCAAGAGATGGTGCAACACAGTGGCCAGAGACATTATCAGATATGGCTCAGAATAAAAGCACGTGGCGATCCTGCTGTAACCTTTTTTACTTTCTTCATAAAGAGTGGTCATAACTTCCTTACCTGAAAGAATTCTTTTGGTAGTACCTTTCCGTTTCCCTCATTATTATTCTTATTATCACACTAACATACACTAATCTGTGGTTGTTATTGTTCTCCTTTTTTTCCTTATACCCACCCTACTTTCTTTTACTCTCCCCCATCCTCATTGTTTTGTGAGGCGCATATATATCTGGTGCCCCCTTGTACCAATATTTATGTGTTCAAATTAATAGATAAAACAATGATGTCCTTGATATTTAACAAACGCAGTTTGATTTTGCATAAAACAATAAATTGGTTTGCCATACATGAATTTTCATCCACTACATTAGAACTGAAATCCATTAATTATCCTAAATTCTTCATTTACGAGCCGCGGTTGGGTGATGAATGAATACCGACTATTCTAAAGACTACATTGGTTAGGTGGATTGGTTTCTGGAGAGCTGCATTACTCAGCAGTGGAGAACAATTGAGCGGAAATTCACCTACCTTTCATACTTCAATTAAATGAGAACTTATCATTACTCACCTCCAATGTTGAATATGCGGAAATAGAGTTGGTGTACGTACACTTACTGTTTATGATTCAAGAACATAAAACACGCTTTTTACCGCATTACACAAAATATATCTTTATATTACAACAAAAGCAATGTCTATCATTATCAGTATAGGCAATAAAATTACTTAATATAACTAAAGAGCAACCAATTAACCAAGACATTGAAAAATAATACAAAAAATGCAAAAAGAACCAACTTAACAAATTGTGTAACTCACTATTTGACACACCGTTTTCGAGGTTCACTGTCCCGTAAATGTAACCCCTTGTTGCTTCAAGTTCATCAATTTGCGTTCGTTGAAAGCCAAACTTTGTCAAAAATAAATATCTGTTGGATGGATTCCATTTCCCTTTAAGACGCAACGTGTTTACTCCATTCGTGATTAATAGGACGGTTAAAATACTTATCTGAAGAACAGAAACAAAGTATATAACCACTAATTTTGTTAGAAATGTTCGACACTTACGAACTTCTGAACATATGATTTTGTAACAAAAAACCCCAAGATGTTAACTAAAGACAGGTTAGCAGAGATTTTGCATGCCTCTAATTGCTTGTGGAACACACATATGATTCGGCAGTCCCAAAAATAAACATTTAACAATACTACTCTCTTACTTGCCTGTGTGCAAATGAATAAGCACAGTTTACCATTTATAAACGAGTTGTTTAGAAATACGAGCACCTATATCTTGGAAACTACACCGTTTACCATAAAACCTTTTGGAATAAACTAAACACGTTAAATAATTTGAAAGGTGTAACCTCTAAAGGTGAAATCTATAACCAAATCATGGTTTCCAGTCAATAAGAGAAAACTATGAAGTATACACTCTACCACATTCACTTAAATAATCATCTTGATAACTCTAATTTTATTTGTGTAGCACTTAGCAGCTGAAATATTTAATTTTCCTTGTTATCATTTGCAAAGTAGATAGAGGGCATTCGCGTTTAGACTACGGTCGTAGTTTCCTAATGAATACATTTTTTCTTATCTCCTGGAAACCATAAGTTGGCTATGGATCCCACTTGTAAAAATTATGGTCGTATTTATCAATTTAGTGTTTAGACCACTTTGAGATATTTTCTTATGAATAGTATGACAAATAATAAAACCGGAAAAGTGTCTGGATTCACATCATTCGGGACGGCATCAAAAACAGAAAATTGCCAATCAAAACGTAGAAACTGTACGCATGTACATCGATTCAAGTCATACCTTATTGGTACAGAGATGGGGTTGTCAAGTGAAATCCCAGAATGGTAGAGATAATAACAGTATCGGTGGTAATAGTAAAGATTAGGCATCGAAGATATGACTCCGGAAAATATAAATTAGCGAAATGAAGATAAATAAAGGTTATAAGGAATTTAGAATTTTAGAGTTTGGGGAAAGACAAAGAATAGATGCACCTGTGCCATTGCAAACAATTTTAAGCTGTCATCCCAAGTCTCCAACCATTGGTTATAATAATCACGCAGACCCCAACCAGGTAGTCTATACCTATTAACATGACTAAATCTAATTGTCAGTGACTTCTTGAATTGATTCCATGGTTTGGTTTGGCCGGCCCAATTTTTTTTGAGACTACTGTACCAGAAAGAAACAGTAAACACTACAGTATTATTTATTTATTTATTTAAACACATAAATATTGGTACAATGAAGCACCAGATAAATATGCGCCTCACAAATCTCATTCGATTTGTGTGAGGGCTGTGATACTGCCCAGGTGCCCAGACTGAAGCAGGTGGTTTTCTTAGGGGGCCACACCCGGAGCCTTTGACCAAAAGGTCTGATCCACAAGGCAGTGGAGCATCGTGAGGAGATGCAGTCCCATGGTAGCCGTTGACCAATGACAGGTTCCTCCGCCATTCGTTCCATCAGGATACTGGAGCCCATGTGCACCATTGGTTTGGAATCAGGGTTTTCCAACTGCCCTAGGTGGACTCGCCTTGTCCACCAACCCGGTTAAAGCCCCTGACATTCGCTTTTCGTCCTCTCACTTTCGTAAACAACGCCCCCGCCACGAGAAGGCAGTGAGTAGGACTTCCCTGGCAGAGGCTATATATTCGCTGGCCATATGAGAGTATTTCGAGAGGGAGAGGTGACTCTCCCCACTCTCGGCCGTACCAGGGCATTTGGGGGTAAAACACTACAGTACTTCAAGATGAATTGAAATCATACAAATTATGACTGCATAGCCTCTTTCAAGCCCAAAGTGTAGAGCTCTTATTTATGTGAAGAGAATTTAAATAAGAACATATGTATAACCACTAAGGGCTCTTCCAATAACACGTGTTAAAGTGAGCAAGCGCGAACTCTGAAGAAAAACGAGAATACAAATCTACAAATAATGATCACGAATGATATTAGACATACTCTAAGAAGGCTTCAGTGGTCTTTTGAATGTAACAATGAGTTTTCAACTAAAACAAGCTTTAGAAAATAGAAGTCTTTACGTTTTACACATTCATGATACTTAGCAAAGTTTGTTATTAATCACCTAATAGGCTTGATACTGTGACATATTAGTTTTTCAAACCAAATAAACTGCAGAACTTCATGCATGGACACTAATCATTGCTGGGAATTACGCTGACAAATGACTTACTTAGATTCTCGATTGTTTTGTAGAGAATATTGTCATGATTACAGACTTCTGGAAGTAAACATACTCTTGACAGTCTTTAGAGGTAAGCATAGATCAAGTGGCTGATGTCAATTTTCGTGACCTGTAGTACTATGGAGATCAGTGTACCTTTGAACGCATTGACAGGTGTCGATGTTGTGCACTTTGGTAGAAAATTTCAGTAATTCACTACCCAGTGAGAAAAGCGAAACACAGGTCGCAAACAATTTGATCTGAATTCTCGAACCTTCGAAGATTGACTTTTCAAATTGTTAGTCGTAGGGGGAAATTTCTATTACTTTATTATGATAATTTGGAAGGTGATGCAGTTGGGAGAAAATCCATAGATATAAAGGGACCTAGGAAGAATATTCTTCCAAAGTCCCCATATAAATGTAGGTGGGTTTAGGGGGAAGATGTGTGGATCATGGGAAGAAAACAGCAACATCTAGGAAAATAAAGAATGTTTCCCGTGTAGCCAAAAAAAGAAAACTACAATCTGAATTATTCCCTTATTTCCTCAGAATTGCATTATTTTACCCCTGAATATCGTCTCCAACTTACAAAAATCGTTTGTTCAAACTACTGATAAATTGTCGCTTAGAAACATAATAATTTTTTTGGGAATGTTGCCTGTATTTCCTTAAGGTTCGTCATTTCCCATTTTTTGTCTGATTGGGTTGAGATTACAACACATGCTTTCTATGATAACACTTTTCGTTAGGGATGTCGTCTTTGTCATTTTAAAATGGACAAATAGGTTACTTACTCGAAGTATACCCATTAGTAGGAGCTACACCGATCGGGTAGGCACCGCAGAATCATTGGAGTAGAAATAAGAGACATACTAGCCGCGAAAAACTTCCAGTCTTCATTAACAATAGTAGAAGGTCAAGTGACCTAACTTAAATCTCCCGATTTCTTAATGGTACAAGCTTTCAAGTCGAAGGTTCTCATATTTCGCGTGCCGATAAAGAATTCTAGTAATTCACGCGTCGATGTGAACAGAGAATGCCTTAATCTCAGCTTCTGAAATTCTGAAGAATCTTATCTCATAATGTTAGGTCCGGAAGGAAGAATATCATAGAACATATTATTATCGAGATCGCCACCCATCATATGGTAGGAAGTGTTAGATCACCTTACCTATTTAAAAAGGACAGTGGTATTTTTCTTCGTTGAGTAAATTCTATTGTTTTGATCGTTATTAACGTATCAAGACTACTGTTTTATACTTTGATTGAATTTCTTTCAGTTAAATTATTCGACTAGAGTATCGTTTTTGGTATCCTAAATAGTTTTATCGTCGGTACTCCAGAGTACCTTGTTTTTCTATTGTTGATAAAACAACTACCCAACCAAGTTATGCCCAAAAACATCCCCGGGGTCACCTTGCTAAAGGTGTATAGACTAGAAAATCTAGCGCATCTGAAGCCAAATCAGTCTAGACTACTCAAAGTCTTTTTCAAATCCCCAAACGAACGCGACTTAATCTTAGAAAATGGACACAAATTAAAGGGTTCAGGAGTTATTCTCCGTAAGGACTTACCGTTGGCGCACCGTGTTAAAAGACGGGAAGCCGAAAAGGAACTACAGCTCAGATTAGACGCTGGCGAAAAAGACATGAAAATTGTAAATTTTCGGGTTGTGAGGCTTCGACAGAGAATGATGCCGAAGCCACTCTGGGTGAAGCACGAGGCCACCTAAATAGGCTTCGGATCTGTTATACCAACGCCCGGAGCTTACTAAATAAGCTACCGGAACTAGGTGTACAGATTGACTCAACTAGGCCAGACATAATCGCAGTCACAGAAACATGGCTGACGCCGTCTATAGATAGTAGGGAACTTGATTTCGAGGGTTTTACTTTATTAAGGGCCGATAGAACACAAACGCGTAAAGGAGGGGGAGTAGCTCTATTCATTAGGAATGCTATTCCATTTACCATTATCGACAGTGTATCCCATGAGAGTGGGACGTATGAATTAGTTTGCTGCCGCCTGAAATGCAGGGGACAAGAATTGCTACTTAGTTTGATCTATCGCAGTCCAAGCTGTGAGGTAAACGAGGTCCTGCTAAGCAGTCTCAACACTTTATCACGAAGTGATCGATGTCTAATCCTAGGGGACTTTGATGCACCCATGGTGGACTGGGGAAATCTGCGGACTGAATCGTCAGCAAATTCCTTCGAACAGGAACTAGTTGATGCGGTAATCACATGTGCCCTAGTGCAAAACGTGAAGGAAGCAACTAGGTACGACCCGGGTTCTGCATCATCCTTACTAGATCTTATATTGACTCATTATGAGGATGATGTTGCAAACCTGGATTACATGCCACCCCTAGGCAAAGGTGATCATGCAGTTTTAAGCTTTGACTTCCATATAACTGTCGATCACGAGTACGCTTCAGCTCAATCCAGACCTAACGTCTGGAAAGCAAACATAGCAGACATCATGAAATCAGCATCATTAGTAGATTGGAAATTAGATCCAGAGTCATCAATCGAAACGGCTTGGGACATATTCCGAAATTTATACTTAAAAGTTACCACCCCCCACATCCCTTGGACTACACCTAAGAGACCGAGAAACTCCCCACCGTGGTTCAGTAGGGAGGTTCGCATCCTTCTCCGTAAAAGAAGGAAAATGTGGGACAGATTTAGGTTACTGGGGACTGACGAGGCAAAATCTCAGTATCAAAAGGCTCGAAATACCTGTGCCTCGACCCTCCGTAAGGCCAGAATCCATAGAATCCATAGAATGCCCTAAACGCTTGTATTCGTATTTAAACCAAAGGACAAAAAGAAGAAGAAATGTTCCTTCACTATGGGGAGATAGTACTGCCACATCACTAGTGGAGGATGACTTTGGCAAAGCTCAAGTATTCTCTAAATACTTTAGCGATGTATACACCATAGAAACACCCTTCTCACCAGTCCATGAAAATCCACCCACACAAGCACTGGACAGCGTAACCATTAAAGAACTCGATGTCTTTGGTCTGCTAGTTAAGCTTGACATAGGTAAATCCACTGGACCCAATGAACTGCATCCTAGGTTACTAAAGGAATTAGCTAACTTTCTTGCGAAACCTTTAAGTGTATGTTTTAATCTATCCGTAACCCAGGGTCGTCTACCAAAAGACTGGAAGAACGCCATAGTAAGTCCAGTCTTCAAAACAGGTTCAAAACATAAGCCTGAGAATTACCGACCAATTAGCCTAACTAGTGTGGTTGTTAAAATCTTAGAAAAGATTATTCGGAAGGAACTGCTAAAGTATCTCGATAAAAACCGGATCCTCTCCGAAAAGCAGCATGGTTTTAGAACAGGTTACTCTTGTCTCACAAACTTATTAGTCGCTCGTGAAAGCTGGTGCGCTCTTAAGGACAAAAAGTTACCTAGAGACGTAGTTTACATCGATTTCAGCAAAGCTTTCGACAAAGTTCCGCATAACCGGCTGTTATACAAGCTAAGGAATGTCGGGATTGGAGGCAATCTATTGATGTGGATAAAAGATTTCCTACTTGGGCGTCAACAAAGAGTAAGGGTGAACTCCAAGTTGTCTAGCTGGGAAACTGTGCTTAGTGGAGTCCCCCAGGGTACAGTTTTGGGGCCAATGTTATTCCTCCTGTATGTAAATGACCTCCCTCGTCTACTATCGTCATCGGTCTTACTCTATGCTGACGATGTCAAGATATGGAGAGCGATAAAAAGCAAGGGCGATAGCTTAGAACTTCAAAATGACCTGGAGAGATTATCTGAATGGTCCCAAACCTGGCAATTGCCGATAAACACTTCCAAGTGTATTGTGATGCGTATTGGCCACCAGGGTACAGATACATACACGATGAATAACACTGTGTTACCTATTGTCCAGGCACACAATGACTTAAGCGTCATCGTTAGTCAAGACTTAAAGACTACTGCACACTGCCGTGCAATAGCCGCCAAAGGTTTTAGGATTTTATGGTCCATACGTAGGGCTTTTAGGCATGTTGACGCTAAAACGTTTCTGACTTTGTATACAGTGTTCGTACGCCCTAAACTTGAGTACTGCATACAAGCAGCTAGCCCCTGCCTAAAAAAAGACAGTGAACACTTGGAAAGGGTTCAGAGAACAGAAACTAGGCTGATTCCCGGAATAGCGAAGCTTCCGTATGGTACTAGACTGACCAAGCTAAACCTATTCCCGCTGTCATATAGAAGAATCAGAGGCGATTTGATTACAGTTTTCAAATTGCTTAATGACAAATTTGCACCTGATATGCCCTCATTTTTCTTGTCTTCCAAAACAGAAAATCTACGAGGACACTCCAAAAAAGTTACTGGGGCATGTATCACAAAGTTCACAAGCCCAGAAAGAATTACTTGTCAGCTGACTACCGAATTTCCCATCGAATAATCAACGAGTGGAATTCATTACCTCAGCACGTGGTTGAGGCTCCATCCGTCGACTCCTTCAAAAGAAAGTTGGATCAGCTGAGAGACCATCATTGCCAGGACTAACACAGGCCATCAAGCCTTCTGTCACAGATATTTAACGCTTCACTACACTGTTGTCCGCAACAAATTTGTGATCGGTGATTCTAAACTCAGTCAAACATGCAGTCAGGAATTACGAAGGTTTTTCGGCTTGTCGAGAAACGTGTAATCTGAGCTGGCTAGTTGTTGTGACGAATGTGTGGCAAGACGAGTTCAATGGTGATCTGGTGAGAATGCGCGACAAAATGAATTGACATAAAGTGTCTTCAGTAACTTAATTGAGGTTGGCACTAATGTCGTAGACTCAAAGAACATTGGTGGCTATTTGCCGTTAAAAATGGTTCTTTTGTTGAGCGCCACAAAAGAGTAACTTTTAACTCCAAGTATTCATTGTGAAAAGGTGTGCTTCCCTAAGTTCCTCAGGTCAAGGAGCAGAGGTAAATGAATCCCCAAAATAAATAGCCTTGTAAATGTTCGACATTGGATGCTGACCACATTATTCTTAGTAGACTCAACTACCTGAAGGTGCTCGTTCATGCATTCGCATCAGATCACAAGTGGGAGCGCCGTGTTCAATTTCTCCTGTAACCACTAGCCAGTTAAATCAGTTGCTTCTTGATATATTAATAACCTATCAAATAGACCTTGGAACCTTCTCGCTTCTGACTTATGATTTTAATGTGTGGGTACGATTTAAATATAGAAAGTGTTACTGATTGAATTGTTGTCAAACTAGAAATATCTGTGGCATCCTCAAAAGTTTTGTAACTAGTGTTATTCTTAGTGTGTGTAAATGAGCTTTCTAATCTCCTTTCACTACCTGTTTTGCTATATGCTGATTATATTATGACATGAGAGGCGATAAAATATGAAGATGATAGTTCATAGCTTCAAAAAAAGTTGCATAAATTATGAGAATTGCCCGGAAGTTTGCAGATATTGATCCATTGTCCCCAGTACATTATGGTATTTGTCAGTCATAGAGGCAGAGGCACATTTAAAGTGTATAATAATAATTAAATATTTCTGCAAGGACTGGTACACGCCGTATTTGCAGGCATGATCTATAAGTTACAACATATACTGGTTCACGATATGCATCCCAATCAGCGTTGTTTAGTAAATATAATCTATAAAAGTTGATAGCAGTTCATTCGTTCAGATATACTGTGATTTCTTTAACGTATTTTCCAAATGGGCATCGCGTCCACGTTACATATCGGATACAATCTCCACAAAATTGTACTAGGATTTCGGTCGTGCTAAGTATTTATATAGTGTAGCTTTTTAAATTTATAGTTGTTATAAAGTAGACTTGTGGAGCGCCTGGTGCGAATGTCGGGCTATCCATTCTCCAGAAACACACTGATGTAGGAGCCGTTTTCAGTTAAGGACTGAAAAGGTTGTCTTATT